ATTGGCCGAATAACTCAAGCGTGAGACGGAAATGTTACGCCCCTCACCATACTGTTGAATTCCCTCAGCGACCTGCACGGATCAGCTCTAGGCATGACGAAGCGGGTATCGTCCTCTTTTGGAAGACCAAACAAAGTAGGTTCGCTTTCACAACGAAGCACACAGCGTCTTCAGGATATGGCGGCGGCAACAATACTACAGTGAGAATAAAAGTTACGCCTTCTTTCTTTGCGTGAACATTTGGGCGGTGTTATGCAAATCTTCCCACAGAGCGAAGTAGATATGTGGGGGCGTGTTAGAACGAGCCGTTTTAGGTAGGTGTGGCTGGCTCTTAACTTTTATAAAGAATATCTCTTTGGATTTGAGACTTTAGTCTTTGCAACTTTACAGATCTTCTTTATGCACCAAGAGCTTGTAACACTCCAAAGAGAAAGGACATTTTAGCTATTTTTTTAAGCTTCGAATCGTTCTTGTTCACTTGTATGCGTTGACTCGTATTTTTCGTTCACTGAAGGGACTTACTCAAAACACAAGAGACAAGACCATCTGCAGAAACAGCCAGTGAATTCATCTTTTTCAATGAACTGATTCAAAAGATTCGCGTCACCGGGAGAAATGGAACGTTTAGCATATTGAATTGTGATTGGTCTCCTTTTTTCATATTGCTTTGTGATTGGTCTTTTATTTCTTACAACAATTAATCGTCTATTTTGCATTTCATGCATTGCTATTCATTTCTCTCTTTCTCTGTATTATGTTTTCAACTTTTCTAGCTTTCATTTTACTAACGTTTTTTACTGCCGAAAAGCACTTGAGTTTGTTTAAATACAAAAGTGTTTATTTTCATATATTTCTAGATATGTATTACAGATTTTAGGAACTTTCTCCACACATTTGATAGGATACCAAAAGTTTCTTTGCGTCTAGCTACAAAACCTTCATAACATTGTATCTCCTCAAGCTGATATCTATGACCGTGTGTCTGGAGAACTGGAGAGAGGTGGAGGACTGGATTGTGAATGTCTCGGAGGTGGAAGAATCAAACATGACAGTGCTGCAAAAAAGATCCACGTCTACGGCTATTCCATGGTACGCATGATGTTCCAGTGTCAAACGATATACATTCCTTGTATTAGTTCCAAAAGTTTAACCAGTTCCTCTTTTTTATTTTCAGGGATTTGGGAGAGCGAAGCATTCTGTTTCCACAGAGAAGATAAAAACCCATTACCCAGACTATGAGGTGACCTGGGCAGACGAAGGGTATTGAATGGGTTACATGGGATAAATGACAGCTGCGAATAAGGACACTATTTCAAACCTAACTGTCTTAACGTAGCTTTCAAGTCTTGATGTTCCAAGGCTGAGAAAGTACAGAACTTTAATACATTTCTGGGATGGATGGATGGATGGATGGATAGGACGTTTACTCCAAAACTAGACAGGTCATCCTCATTATGTTTGATTGGTTTTTAACTTAATGTGTAGATTAACACATGGCAACAAAGAGAAAGGAATGCAATTACCTTTATGGCCATTGGTCTTTAAATATGATGAAATAAAACAGGTTAAGTACTTCATCCAAACCATAATTATAATAACGTCCAGAGAAGTGTTCTTAGAAATTCCCAGAACTGCTTATTTGTTATTTAAGTTGGAAGAAATGTTTGGATACACTATTATATCACGATATGGGAAATGTCTTGTTAAGGTAGATTACTGTGCTTAACTACAACATATTAAAATATAAATTGTGATTTAATGATTGCTAAAGTACCATACAATAATACTGGACCCTCAGACCTGATCCAGAGGTTGTAAGCCTTGCCTGATAAACCTGACGATCCACCTCACATCCGTTTGTCAGCATTTTTAATAGAAGATGCCATTAGGATGTACAATGACTTTTTTGGCTCGAAATATTACGACCTAACGACATCCGGAGAATGTTATTAACATTTTGAATTCACAACTTTTAAAACAACTGCATTTTTTGTCGTTTCAAGCCTGAAGATTAAAATAGAGATGATCTTGTATTAGTTGCATTTAAATTATTTAGTGCAAACAAACCGAAATGGATTGCACAACAACATTTAATAAATGAGTCTACTTTTGCCTCTAGTGTTGCATCTTTATTGTGTCATTGTCTTTATTTCTTGTTTCTTTGCTTGTCTGTCAAGGTTAACTGGCAAGTCGAACCTTAGAAATGGTTTACAGTTTGCTACTATTAGTAAGACCAGAATGTGCCGTTCATTTTAGCTAAATAGTAACATTGTCAAGTGAAGTATCTGGTGTTGAGGCCAAAATAAACTGAACTGTCTGTGTTGCATATTTTCAAAAGGGCTGAGCAGCTTTAAAGGAAGGATCTGGCACACTTCTGTGGGTTAAAATGTAAAGTCCAGGTATTATCTGGAAGCAGGAGGGAGGGACACAGGTGAAGTTAAAAACTTCATATGTGGCAGGATGGTGCTTTTGCTCACTGTACGCTGAAAAAGAACTCTTGTTCTGTCTTCTGATGGCAAAAGTAACGATTGGATTCATGGGTACCTGCCACTGGATTCTCCTTGTGTGTCTCATGCTGAATATCTGTCAGAGGGGTGAGATCTGGTGTTTTTGTTCTTTTATTTGTTAACGGTTTCAGGTCAATTGCAATTCAATATTGAATGCCACGTTGGGACATATGTGTACTATCGAACATTATTTCTTTCTTATTTTTTTCTTAGTGCTTTCAATTGTACATTTCAGTGGCTGATATTTCTAATGATAAGAAAACACTGAAATGTGCACTGAAGCAGTCTCAAAATAAGCGTCAGTGAATTATTGCTCTTCAGGACATTTCTTGTATGCGACCAAACCCGATGTCATGAAGAGTGATTGGACGTCTTTTCAAAGCCCTCCCCTGGCACCAACCAATGACACACATCCTTGTCGGGTATGTATATAGTACCAAATACCTATTTTAGGGAGCATTAACATCAACTTAATGCACTTGTTTTATCAAGAATCTATCCACATAATCAGGATTAGGTAGGCGTCTCACTGTCTATAATGGTTATGGCCTTAAGTTTTAAACCCATTGTTCATAATTACAGATGGTAATGTACACGCATCAGTTTGGCCGAGTATCCGGTGGACTGTCTGTTGGTGGCCGAGAAGCAGATCTATCCTGTATGGGAACGTGGAGGTGCTCTCGGGGACTTGTGGGTAAAGGCTGAGGTGGAGTTTGTCATCAACAGCACGTTCCAGGTACGTGAACTCAATGCTCCTCTGACGACATCACACAATGTTGTCACTTTTTATTACACTGCTGTCATAAAAAGCTATCTAATTTATTGAACTTGCCCCAATCAGATTCTGTTTGTCGCTGCCATTCGAGACCATGCTTACGGAGGGATCGCTATTGATGATATTGTGTTGTCCCCTGAGTGTCGTTTATCCAATGGTACTCTCTAGTTTTTTGCCTGCCTACACTGATTAAACACCACAACTGTACACCTGCCTGCATATTGTCTGTATTTTATCAAATGATTCAATAGTCTCTCTCTTGCTTTTTCCTGCATATAGAATCAATGCCACTTCCAGAATTTCCAAAACCTCCTGCTCACCCTTGCACAGACGATGATTTGAAAATCTGTGACTTTAAGGAGGACTGTCCTGCTGGAGAAGATGAGGCTCAGTGTGGTGAGTTCCTCCTGTACTAATATATGTGCATGTGCAGTGTATTTGCGTGTTGTTGTTTTTTTGTTGTATTTAATTATATAATTACACACACACACACAAACATATTTTGCAATTGCAATTTATATGAGA